GCGCGCGCGCGCCTTGTAATCAAGAGTAACGTGAGTTTTTTAGGGAAACAACATACGCGGGTGTCATTTATTTAGACGCCCGGCCCGGCCCGGCCTGGCGCGACGCGCGAGCGGCGGCGGAACGTCGAATCGCGCGCGATCCTGTCCCGCGCTGGTCAAACGCGTTTTGTCTTCGTGCGACGACTATCGATTCGATTTACGAGCAGCAATGGCCGCTCTTGTTCGAACAGCTCGACGCTTGAGTCATCGATTTTTAAAAAGACGGCTGTGTCATATTGGTAGAGTTCCAAGTACACACCGCGGTCATAGGTGATTTTTAAGTGAACGGTTGCGCTTCCTCAGATTCAACCACCCTCGTCTCATTCAACCTCCTCGCCTCGTCTCATCCATGAGAAATTTTACAAAATTCTACGAACACGCGTACTAAAATGCGCGCGTACACACACACACACACACACACACACTATATGACTCGTTCTCTGATCCAAACCGGGGTGGAATAACATCCCGCACGTTGCTTGTGACATCCCAAAGAGCGACATATGCATCGGTCCTACCGGGGACTCCTCTCCACTACCAGTTATCCCCGACGATTAGCAGTATAAACGTGGATTTGGGGGGAGGCGGGATCTCAAGCAAACTAAACACTCGACAGGTTACGTGCGCTGTAGAAATATTTGTACCGAGGGACGTGCTATTTACTTATCATTGAGATGCGAGTTGGGAAGATTTACAGGGTCGCGCGATATACGAGCCACCACGATGCACGCGCGGAGAGGAGCCGCAGCCGAGAGGGTGCGGTGTCGATGATTTACGATCACGCGATTGCCCTGCGTACCGAAACCCTGCCTGCCTGTCGTATATGTAATTTTACCGGTGCATTAGTATCTCCGGCACTTGAAGATTGCGCCGCGTGGGGAACACGCGTTCGCGAGCTCGCCCCGTACTCTCGAAATCCGTCGGCGTGAAACTTCACTCCGGCGAGTGGAAAGCGAGCGAGCTGCTCGACGAATCCGAGCGATTTTTCACTCACATGGAGCGGATATATCCTCGCTCGAAAATGAAGAATGAATCCGACGTGTTCCAGCGTATTCCACAGGAACCCGTATCCCGCTCTAATGGACTGGAACGTTCGCTCATACGCGGTCAGAATCCATCGTAAGCTCTCTCTCTCTCTCCCTCTCTCTCTCGAGCGAGCGAGCGAGCGAGCGAAACGTTCGCTCTTGCGCTCGCTCTCGCGAGATTGCCGCTGTTTTCGTCACCGCCTCGAGCGAAAACATCGCCACTTGTCATTTCTTCCAAGTGGGAAGCCAAACTCCGTTCCGAGGAGTCCAGTGACTACTGGAGTGAATGGATCTGAAGATGTTCATGTCGGGATACAACAATCTCTCCGACGGCCGACACGGAGATTTCGGCTCCGAGAGAGCGAGCGCGATACCGCCGTCGCACCGGAAACGGAATGCCACACGAACGGATTATCGCTGGATGAAGATCGCACGCTCCACGAAGACGACTCTCGATGCCGGTAAACCTGGTGCGTATTGCAAGGTAAGGTAAGGCAAGGCAAGACAAGACAAAGCAAGGCAAGGCAAGGCAAGGCAAGGCAAGGCAAGGCAAGGCAAGGCAAAACAAGGCAAGGCAAGGCAAGAGTAGGCAAGGCAAGCCAAGGTAAGGCAAGGCAAGGCAAGGCAAGGCAAGGGCGGCGCGTCGGATGCTGCTGAGCACACGCGCGCACAGAGGTGTGTATCGGCGGCGAGCCTGCGCGCAATCGGGGGCGAAGGGGCAGCTTTAGCGGAGTCGCCCCCGCGGTATCCAGGACGACGGCACGCAACGCCGCCCACAACCCCCGGGCTGTCTTGTCCGATGTGTTTGCTCGATGATTTTATACCAATTACGGCCTATCCCCGTGCCATTGCCTACACTGCTGGCGTATCTCTGCCGCCGCCATCGCCGTACGCCCGCGTGATTCGCGTAACGGCACTTCCGCAACGGAAGCGACGGCCAAGTACCGCGAGTAAGACCGCGCGAGGGTATCGGGACCGGGACTATCGATACAGCCGGTACATCGGCATATTGCTATCGGTAAGCAGCCGAGTATCGACGTTTATGTACGTACTCTTGGAATGCCAGCCTCAACGGGAAATCAATATTTTCGCGCAAGCTGTCCCGCGAGCTTTAAATGCGATATTCAAGCACCTGTTGTGCTTTGAATTGTAAGAGCTAATAGCGATCTATTGCGATATTGAGTATGAAAATCCTGCGATACGTGCGTTGATATTTGTTCGATTTTCAACGCAGCTATTCTTTCGATGGTGAAACATATCGTCAGCTGCTGCTTGTAGCAATCACGATTGAGCAGCATAAAAATTTAACCTCTCTCTCTCTCTCTCTCTCTCTTTCTCTCTCTCTCTCTCTCTCTCTCTCTCTCTCTCTCTCTCTCTCTCTCTCTCTCTCTCTCTCTCTCTCTCTCTCTCTCTCCGTTTCTCGATGAATGAATCGGCTAAACGCATAGTTGAGGTTAACTATAACTTAAACTATAACATCACCTCTGAGAGGTAAAAATAACAAGTAGTGTATTTTACAGAAAAATAATCAATTATTCATGATTTATTACAATTATTACAATTATTACAATTCTCTCTTTCCCTCGTCCCCCTTCTCCCTACTTTGTGTACATATAAATATACATCTCAGAGAAGTGAAACATTTTTATTTGCGTTTTGATTTAGTTTGTACATACATGTTACCCTGATATGTAGAAATTAAGATTCGTACGGTAGTTTTTTAGGTCAGCTTTCGACTTCATCAAATTGAATTCGTTCTTTAGGGCTACTCGTCCATATGTATTCTTTTTTATAATATCTATACTACGGTGTAACAAATAAACGCTAAATTCTTGTAAAAATTTACGTTACTGTCGATTCGTTGAGGTCTTTTGTGCGATATAAATAATTAGTTACTTTTAAGTAGTTATCGATTAACTTAATGTGGGATTATCTTTGGCATCGCACATTATTATAATTATGTTATATAATCATTTATATATATATATATATATGTGTGTGTTTTTGTTATATCGATCTACAGGGCAGGTAAAAATGTTATCGCGTGTGTCAAATCTATCGAGGAATGAACAGGCCGAGTATGTTTTATTCATTGAAGAAACACTGTCGGTATCAGGCATAATAAATGCGCGAAGAGTTCTTCGGAAGTTCTTCTCTCAAATCTCTTGCAGTCTTGCAAACAGTGCAGTAATTTTGGAGCATCGTCTGTAATTTCGCTGCGACGTAAAAAAGTATATACAGTGACATCTATAGAATTTTCTCCGATACGCAAGTTAGCCGTATCGGCGACTCGAGTGGTCGATAAGCGTAAGCGGTAATCAAAACTGTGCACACAACATTAATATAAGAGACACTCGAAATAAAGAAGTAATCTTATTTGTATGTGTCGTCTCTCTTCGTCAGAATTCGTCAGAATTTCGTCGCTGTGCCTCATCGTTTTAGCTATCGCTTCGATCAATTAAATTCGAGAGATTTTGCGCATGAGCGAAAATCAACGTAACCAAGACGTCGCGTTAATCGCGTCGTAGAATCGCGTCTCGATTTCTGTTAATTAGATCTTAATTTCCTCACAAATCGCACACCTGTACGTCACAGCCAAGTATCGCGGGCGTGAAAATATTCAACACATCATTGAGGATCATTTTTACGAGTGTCGGTCACGAGATCAATACGATTCTCTTCGCCTACGATACGGTTATCCTGGTTGCAAAAGGAGAGAAACAAAGCCTCGATTTGAAATGACCTCGATTTTTAGTCTGTCGGTAAGAAAGATTGAGCTCGTGCATCTGATTCATTTCGCGATAAGTTATACAACAAAAACCTATTTAGACGTTAGAGAGTAAATATATATACTTCACATTAATAACAATTAACGCAATGACTTAAACTGAGGCGATAAATTACTTAATCTCTAATCGATCCCATCAGTGGTCGATTAATCGGCATGAGTAAACGCGCGCGCCATTGTTACACGACGCGCTGAAGAGACGCGGCGTCAGTCTGATCGATGAATTAGAATTTCGACCGTGCCTCATGATAAGTCCCATACTGAATGGAATTCTTGCTCCTGCCCAACTCCTCGTCGAAATTGTCGGCCCCGCTATACATGGAAAAGCCACGACGAGACAGCAATTCCCCTGGCACGATTGTGGGATTGGTGTAACAAAAGTCCGCCATCATGTTTGTCTGCCTGTTTAGTTGGTTGGACCTAGATCAATGTTCAGTTTCAACTTTTCGGCGATGGCGATAACTTGCGTCGTAACGAGAGGAAGAAGGATGCTCGATAGGATTTATCCTATCGGGGAGGGGGATACGTCGAGGAATCAAGAAGAGTCCAAGTGTTTTTTCGAGATTTTTCGTGTTGAAGCGATTCAGAAGAAAAGGAATCTGCGCGAATCTGCGTCTTTGACGCAGATAGCGAAAGTTACGGAAAAGTTACATTCGATTCACACAAGCGAGAGAAGGAACGACGCTATCGAGAGGAACTCGCTACAGATTTACGTGGAAATTAGGAATTGTTCGCGCGTCTAAAATCAAGGTGACTTCTCTCGCCGTCTTAATGCTCCTACCTCACATTCTTGGACGAGATAAGCCAAATGATCGCATCACGAGCAATAAAGATACGCTATCAGCGATCTTGTCGCCGACCAGGTGACTCACAAATGAAACGTCTACTATATTGCCATTGTCGCGATAGAAAAACGCGAAAATTCCGCTCGGCCTACACAAACGTGAGCATCCTTTCGCTTTTCTTTTGCCGAACGAAGCGATTGGACGAACGCGTTAGAACTCGTAGTGAGATGTCGAACTGCCGTGTCTGGCGTTTACACTTTATACGTACAACAGTAATCCATGGGCAATACCCATGATTGGGTGATTGAAATTACATATCTTTAAATTTACTAACGAGCTCATTAACGATGAATCGACCGATGGCATCTCGGTCATTTTATCGATCAATTCTTCATCATCATGGTGTGATGTTTCATCGATAGATAGATATTGTAACATAAGAATGTAATCCTCTTTTTCTTTCGAGGAGCAAGGTACGAGTAATTTTATAATAAAGAAACGTCGAGATTGAGATTACTGTGATACGTAAGAAATCGTTATCAACATAAGACGTTCATCTTACGAGAATGTTCCACCGCGTATGTGAAAGACGACATTCCGTGCGCGATAAAGTCCTAGTGAAATATCCGGCTGATGTCTCGATCGGTCAGTAATATACAGAGTAATATATCCATCCACGGTATAATTTAGCTGCGGAAATTTTGAAACGCGTTACGCGAGCGCGGAGACGCCCGTGATATTCTCAAACGCGCGCTTTCACCGAGAGGCTCGAATATCGCTCGAGTTTAAATCCGAATGTTCCCGTAACGATCATATTCGCTCGAGCATTTTTACTGGAGCGATATTTACTGGAGCATTCCAGTCGGTAATAACGCCGCTATCGAAGCCTTCCTTCGATCGTCGCGTGGACTATCGGCCAAGCTAAGAACAAGCGATACTTACCCGTCCCGAGCTAATCGATTTACTTTCACGAATAGCACGGCCACCAAAATGAAAAGTAAGATAAGCGCGCCGGCGGCGATACCACACGCAATGTAAAAATATAGCGTCAAGTCGGCAGTCTCCTAGAAAGAAGAATACAAAGTCACTTTTTCTTTTGGAGCAAGAGAGAGAGAGAGAGAGAGAGGGAGAGAGGGAGGAGAAAGGGTATGTTAAACAGCAACTAACCCGAGGATTTAACAGCAAAACCGGAGCGAATCGAATTAATTATTGCCTACTTATCTGCTTATTACGCACGAACGATGTCCGCTTCCTCGAAGGGTTTCGCAAGGGCGCACTCGCGACAAGCCAACGTTCAGCCCGCGCGATTGCGTCACCCAGGCACCAAGCATGAAAGCACCTTCCGCACACGCGTCGTCATTTACACGGCGCGACTGATGAGATTCTCTCAATAAGAATTGATCTCATGAATATCTATCGCGCGCGCGTTTCATCGTTTACGCCATCCGGCCTCGCGTACGCATTGTTGCATCTCTAATAACGAGGCCTGCGAACGGACGTGATCGATTACAACGCCGTAGCGTATACTGAGATGTACAACCGTGTAAACACTTTCTACCTCCATTCCACAGAACGGGGGAAGAACGGGCGAGAACGATCTGCGAGAAGGGAATCTGCGATCGGTCGCGTCCTTTTCCGCGGGCTTTGAACTTTTCTTCTGGAATACCGTTCTTATCGAAGCGGCTCTAAAAGATTAATCGACAAGTGCGCTTTTGTGTCATTCTTCATGGAATCACACAGCTATCGTCCATTGAAGGAATATTTACTCATCGATATGGAATTATTGATGTTCTATTCGAGATAATATCGCGGAGCCGTGTGCGTTCCGATTCTAATAAGACACCTGCATCTCTCTCTCTCTCTCTCTCTCTCTCTCTCTCTCTCTCTCTCTCTCTCTCAATATCGATACGACCAGCGTTATTTTCAACTAATCTCCCTGCCCAAAAATTGCGACTCACGCGACTCCTTGTACCGTAAACATCCACCGTAAGAGATATCGCGTGTATTAGTGTGTGTATGTGATGGTAAAACATTTCGACCGATTGAAATTAATGCGTGACAGAAAATTAAACGTTCAACGTGACTCACACGAGGCTAAAGTTGGATGGAAGTCGGAGATGCACCGAACGGCGGCAGCTTCGCTTCGCCGCGAAGGCTATGTATGATCCTTTTCGCGACAACTTGTCTCGCGTAAACAACGTCTACGACGAAGCCGTCTACGAAGCTGCCGACCACTAACGACGCGACACCCGCGCGCTAATTCTAGACGTTCGCGCGCGGCAAAGGACGCGGGCAGGAACTCCGCAAGGAAAAACATTTCGCGCGCGTGTTTCACGCGAGAACGACTCTAGCGAATTCGGTCAAGGATCGTCCACGAGATCATTCGAGACATGTAAACAATGCAAATGGGAGAAAATATCTAGTGTGTACTTACCATCGTGAGTATAGCGAGCGAAGCAGAATCCGCGAGGAGAACACACACCTGGCGCGCGCGCGCGCGCGCGCGCAGGCCGTCCGTGTAAGATGTCGCGCGCGCGCTTGCTCAAGATATCAAGATATCAGCGCGTTATCGCGTTCGTCCGCGTATCTTTCGCAGCACAATGGCATCGTAAATCCCGAAGAATTTGCCGAGCGCACCTCATGGAGCCCTACTGAGCATTTCGCGCTCGAAAATCATCGAGTCGAGACTCCCTCAATTTCGACCCAAGAAAGATCCCGCGAGGATTCACTACGATCCGCTTATCTACGACGACGACGACGACGACGACGACGCGCGACGAAGGAAATCGTGACCGAGAAGCCGCGAGAACTCGACAGGTGTGTTTGTGAGAAAGACGGAGGGAGAGAGACGGCCGCAACTCTTTTCGCGTTATCGCGGCGCGATTAACGACAAACACAAAGTAACGAGTCGTGTCGCTCGTGCGGGACAATGCGCACAAATGCGGGAAAGCCGGCTAGTCAAACGGATACCAAGCGACTAAGTGTGGTGAAGCAAAGCGTGGTGGTGTGACGCGCCAGCTAAGCAATGCTGGACGCTGATAAACCCCTCCAAAGCGATCACAGCGTGTCGCGCGGGGATGTGTGTGCACGCGCTGCCACTCGCGCGACGCACCTTTGCGCTCACCTGCGCGCGGGACTTGGCGTGTGCCGCGAATGTTTGCTCGCGATTTTGCCCGTCTGTCGACGTTTTCATTCATTCGTTCGTTGCGTGACGTTGCGAACCGACATTATATAAGAATAACATAATAACGACGCGCTAGATGCGTCTGGTGTTTCGCTGTAAATTTTGATACTGCTTGTATAAGCAGAGGAGACTTGACGTACTGGTCAAGAAGGTACTGGGAATATTGTGACAGAGAGAAGAAGGAAGGAATAGACAGATACTGCAAAACGTGTCGTATTCCTTGTATATTTTAGCAATAATAGAATATATATCGACGTACTTTGGTTCTTTGTGTTCATCCCGCTAAAATACCGCCCGAGAAAGTACCGTTTAAAATAAATTTAATCTTTAAAAGCCACCTACCATTAAATATCACTAATTTTTCTTATTATTGTTTATAATAATAGTAGTTTATATTAGTATATGCGAAAATTTGGATCTGTTTTATCATAATGTTGCCACTACTGATAGTGTGAATAAATATCTATAAAATTAGTACTGTCGGTGTGGTTACATTTTTTTTGACGAGATCAAAAATTTGCACGGATGAAATTTTCATCTATGGTCTTTAAAAGTTAAAAGAATATATATATATATATATATATATATGCACTACGCTCATTATTTAAATGTTATCTGGCTGTTGAGTGGTTTCGTGATGTTCTTCATGCTCCAAATATTGTAGACGATGGTATGTCGTGTATATTATCGATCGCAACATTGAATTGCTGTTGAGTCGTAGAGAATATCGGCGCTTTGCATAAAAATGGACAGTCTATCGACTCGTGAATATGCAAACGTGGAGAACAAACGTGGGACTCGCCTATAAGTTGTGCTCGAACTTCGTTCCATTCGTTTGCAATAATTTAGCGACGGTATAAAAATTCTTTCAATTACTCGCTTGTTTTTTGTTTTTTTTTTTTTTTATAAAAATTAGATATGACTTTTTTGTTGGGTGAGCCAAATAGAAAAAGACTCGTATATATCAATTTTATCCTTAAAGCTTAATTGGCTCAGTCGAGCTTTAGTTGTCAAAGACAGTTTCCATGTGACAAACACTTAGAGTAGTTTTGCACATAATAAATTTGTACTTTTAATGTCCGACCCCAGTCAGACTGTTTGCATATAATATATAAATGAGAGAATAAATCTCTTTCATATATCAATGAGAGTAACATTATCGCTACTACTCTCTGCAAAAGTATGTTGATACGAGAGCCAATATAATAGGTAAGGAAGGGACATGCAAAGACTCACGTATAAGTAGTAAGGAAGTGGACGGGTGGATCCAAAGGGACAGAACCACAAACCTCTCCTGGTACCATCTCGTATATGATGACTCAAGAAGGCAGCTAGTACTATCCAGGAAGCTTGCTGCAGCTTTAGGGAATGGAATACACTGGAGAGTAGGATAAGAAATATCCACAGGACGATAGGAACTGTAGTGCAGTGTAGGAATGGTCGTTTCTCCAAATGTGTAGCATCCTGAAAAATATATGGTGAATTTTGAATTGAAAAGAAACATCATATAAGTAACATTTTTTAACCTCCTATATATGTACACACACACACACACACATGCATAACAACTACACACCTACACAATTTCTGTTTATGAAATTTACATTCTTCACCATAACTTACATCCTTCACATTCTTAACCATTCTGATCACTATGATCATTGGCTTTTTCTCATTAATGTTCATTTCTCAATCACAATATCGTTTTTGGATCTAGAAATCAAATCAAGTCTCTTTCGCGCTACAGTACTAACTCGTATTCATTACTCACATGGATATGCCAACTGTGCGCCGCGATAAAGTGATCCAGATCGATGAAGGATGATAACAGGAAGCAAGAAACTATAGCATATAGGTTGCGTACGATGGATTTTCGCGAGAGGACGACAACCAGCATCCACGTGAGACCGCCTACCGTTGCGTGCGTTGCGTTGTCAAACACCGCGCGCTCCGGCGCGCTTTTGCCATACTTGAGTCCGAGGTCGCCAAGCATCGAACAAGCGCCGATCGCGCACGTCAAAATCGTGCGTAGGTAGATCTCATGCTCGCGACACAACATTGTGCGAGAGCTCCTGATTCTCCGAGACCTGTCGCTGACCTTGTCAACGATCGCATGCGTCGCACGCGATCCTTTTTAAAGCCCGAAGACTCTCCGCAAAATTAAATATCACTGCTGATATTCCGCCATCTTGGCTATACGTGTGTTACGCGCGCGTACGCGACGCGTCACATTAGGCCTAGCGTTCGTTTTGTCTGCACTGCTGAACTGGTGCAACAGGTTGAAGTGAGAAAACCTATGTTTGTCTCACTTTAACTTAATGCACTAGTTCAGCAGTGCATACAAAACGAACAGGCCTATTAATGTTAATGGGTAGCGGGCGAGACGGTGGCGACGGTGTTCGAATTTAAAATTGGAATTTTCCAATTTCAAAATGACGTACCAATGAATTTCAGTTTCGCCCTAACAAACACAGAAGAACAGAACTAATGTGCTGATTCAGGCGATGTTACAGGCGGTAGTCACATTTTCACGCTGAAAACGTACGAGACTGAAATTCGCGAAAATTATGCTCGTATTAAATACGACGGTTTGAAAACGCGATTGCCAACACATCTTTCTAATCGAGTATGTATTGTGCGAAGACACAAGAGCTAAGTGTATGTAAAAAGTTATATGTTTGAAAAGGTCTTTTTTCAGATATCCAAAGAAACTTAATATATTACATATCGAGAACTGAACTTATTTTCTAATGTCAGTCGTTGCATTTTGTGTTCTTTTTGAGCTGCGGTTGACAGCCCTGATCCCCTGACTGAGCCTAACGTTTCTGGCTCTGTACAGAAGATGCGACAGTATTTGCATGAGACAAGAAGCAACACGATCGCCAATCAGCTTGGCGCTTTCCCGTAGGAGAGAAAGATTGATTGGCTGGACCGCAATCTCTCTGCACTAAGCCACACTTCGTTACAGAAAAAACTTTCGCTTCAGCGTTGGTACTAGTTGTTCAGTCGTATGTGTCGATCTTTGAGTGGAAGAAAGTGATCGGAGAGCAAGAGACAGAAGAGAAGATAAAAAAAGGAGCATCTCTCAAAATTGATTCTTATAAACGTAGAGCAAACACAGCATCTAAACGGGCATCTATTCTCGGAAGTCAGACAAAAGGAAATCACTACAAGATTCGCTCATAGAAGCGTATATTGCGTTATCGCTGCCTGTGCTTCGAACTCTTCTTCATCTCTTGAGAACGCGAAGTAAGAGAAGCAAACGTAGACTGTGTCGAATCTTCCTCGACTTGAATCTTGAAACAAATCTTTTTACTTGGGACAAATCTAACTGAAAGCATAATCAGACCTTATCAAAATGGTAATTATTTAACTAAGAACTTAATCGATCGGTTTAGTGTGTCACTCTCAAAAACCAACTTGGTTCGAACCGTAACTTTTGGTTCGCGTATCATTTATATGCGTCAATATTTTGTTTATGTAATGTCAATTGTCTGAACCGTATTACAGCTTACTTAAATGTCAATGTCAAGATTAACACGTCTGTTAGATTCGCGAGAGTGCCCGAAGTATACGAATTTCGCTGTCTCAACACGATAGAGGCATTATAGCTATAAAAAAATGTCAAAGGTAATCGATGACAATCTTTGGTACGGTCGTTGTATTTTCTCGCCTTCTCATTAAAGATCGAAAGTGCTTTTATTATTCTGCTTTATGCGATCAAGCCAGAAAGCCTAATATGTTAACAGAGTCATTTGTCCTACAATTAGTTCATATTTAGCACTATATCTTCTATAGTTTTGCTATGCATTAGTTTCTGCTCTTTATTTTGTATTTAAACATTTATCCGTGCTTACAGCCAATTGATATCAAACGTGAAGAGTTCCGCAAGTACTTGGAGAGATCCGGTGTCATTGAGGGTCTCACAAAGGTTCTGGTGATGCTTTATGAGGAACCAGAAAAACCAACGGATGCTTTAGAGTATGCCTTTTTTATCACTGATAAATATCTGTCTTTAATATTTTATCATATAAATTATTCTATGAATTTTCTAAAAAGAAATATTTGTCCATGTATCATATTATTTTTTATTATAATATTGATTTTACTTCACTCGTGCTGTCATATGAATAAAAATAGTCATCTTTTGATTGAATATCTATAATTATGTTAATTACTAGAAATATATATATATATATATTTATACTTTTAACGACATCTATATTTTACAGGTATGTACGTAAGCATCTAGGAGGTGTTATGGAAGATACTTCAGAGGTTGATACCTTAAAAAAAGAATTGGATGATGCTAAAGCAAAGATTACAGAACTGAAATCAAAATTGGTAAAGTACGAAATAGAGGAAGCCACGGATGAGTAACCAAAATGAATGTTAAGTGACCACGGTTCATACTAGTCCCAGATGTACTGATTTTTTTTTTTTAAATCAGCCTGACAATGTGCCTTATTCTTATAATGAAAGACATTTGAGAAAGTTAGAATATAAGGCAAATTACCAAACTTTTGTGCAAACATTCCATTATTCATATAAATTCGTTTATTCAAACTTTACACCTAAGATACATAAGCTTAGTTTTTAGTTCTCGTAGAAAAATTTTTCTCTAAGGAAAAATTTATTGTATGAAATCTACTTAAGTCTATTGTTTGTACAGAATAGATCTCAATGTTCAAATAAATACTTCTTTTACGTTTATTATATTACTTGTATTATTCCTTATATATACATCTTTACCAATACTTGATAATTTTTATATCTTAAGGCTGGAGATATTTTCTTCTGTTTAGATTATATATATATATATATATATATATATATGGACAAAATCCAAATTGTTCAAAGGATAGTAGGTATTATAGAAAATGTTAGTAGTCAAATTACAGAAAGTTTGTTTGGAAATCCAAATGTATTTATAATAACAATGTACATAAATACTTTATTGATGTATCAGATTTATAATCAAATAAGTTCCCAAGTCTTTTTTTCCAGCAACTTTAATGGTGTTTTATATCCAGAAATTTTATTTTATTAATTTATTGTAAGTACCCTGAAATGTGCTAGTGCATTATTAAAACTAATATATATCACATTGAATGGAATATATTAAACTTTTTAAATCAATAAGAGATTACCTCCTGGGTTTTAGGCAAATTTTATGCAAGAATAAAATGAATTATTTCATGTTGGTTTAGCTGCTTGTCTGCGCTTCACTTCCCAGTTGTAAATACGTGCCATATTCACTTCCATAGTGGTAAACTGATCTCGGACAAAGTCTAGATCATGCTCTACATATCCTAAATTTCTCTTTGCTGCCTCAATATTCTTAGTCAGCATTTCTTGCGCATCATCTAAGGTATACTCTAGCATCACATTAGCACCCAGCCATAAACATACTTTATCTGTAGGTGGTATGATTGCTTTTGCGTAAACTTGCTCAGACAGTAGAAACTGCGTTTCTAGATTGTGGCTATTATTCTTCTCAATCTGTAACTTTTCAATCATTTCTAAGGATCTTTCTAAATCTGGTATCTGTGCCTTCAACCGTCTTCTCTTATTGGCCAGATTATATTCCATAAATTTATACTTTCCATGGTTTTCGTCAAACTTCCTGAGTACTTTATCGACCGATTCATTTTCTGGCTTTGCCATAAAAGCCTCCACATCATCCTGAAATATTGCAGTATCCAATCATATGAATGACCATTGGGACTTTAATAAAAACAAGGAGAAATAACATTTGATGGATAATCTTATCAAATGATATAAAGATAGATACAAAAAAATTTTGCAACAAATTGTTTAATTGTATAAAACATTTTTAAATGTAAACATAGTATGGGAGGGAGAAAATGATACATGCTTTCTTTTATGACCATATAAGGTTTGAGTGCTGGTCGAAATCTTGACAATCAATCAATATATATATATACACACTCCCACACACCATACATATATATATATATATACACGTATATGTATAAATTAGAAATTTAATTGATAGAAACTAGATAAGAGAATTGGCTTTCTAATATTTTTTTATTAAGACCGGGATTTTCATAGAACATTTGTAGAGAAACATCAAACGAAAGGTGTAAAGGTTTGTTGCAGAACAGTTAAATTAAATTTCTTATTGATTCCCATAATAATTTAGCTTTTAAAAATGTATCCGGCCTGTAGATTATCCGTTAATAAATTATCCTTACTACAAAATCGGCTTCTGGTATGCCAGCATACGATTTTTTATCTTTACCCAGCTCAACTTCCACTTTATTGTCACCGTCTTCCATCTTGAACCTCTTAGGCTAAAGTATCGCAGCGCTTGAACTCTACTGCGGCTAGTATATCATTTGTCGCATTACCAGTCGTCGAGCATGTCGATTGGTCGTATAAGGATCGTATAGGGACTTTATAAGAACGCTGAAGGAAATTTTCGATATATATTTCAGAGATTATTTATTCAATAACTCTTCCTCCTTTCGATAGCAAAATATTAACCTGTTACTATGACACAATAAGAAGTACGATCTAACTGTACAAGAATATTCTAATATCATACTATAAATTTGATTTGTCTATAACGACAGTGGCGTCTCCAACGGAAACTTTGGAACTAGTAATCGATTTGCTGCACTTGTTCGTACCTGCTGACGTACTGATTGGCACCAGAGAGGAACGTGAAAGCGGCCAATACGGCGTTTTCGGCGACACCGACTTTCCGCACTGGGAAAGGGCGCCATCTACATCCATTTTGAGAGGAAAACTACGATATTACATCCACTTTCAGGTTTCGGCGGTAAAACCTGCATGTGGTGGCACTTCGTGCTACATCCATTTTCAGGCGGTTTATGTCCGTGCTACAACCATAATAGCGTACTTGACAAGCACGGTCTCGCACATTGTTACGTGTTTATTATAACATGAATTAACATGTTAACATGTGCAAAGAAAAAGAATTGACATTGTGTGTGATTCATATCATGAAGATCGTACGAAGTGTCCGGTAATTAGCTGCCAACCCGAAGTGTGAGGGTAGATTGGGTTGAGACAAGCATAAAAGTCCCGTACCATTCTGCGAGATTCGCAATAATTATCGAGTTATTAATGACAGAAATCTGAGGAGTAGGTGCGCGCCGACATAGATGATTGGAGAAGCGTTGCAGCTGCTCAGGCCGCAGCGATCATGAATCTTTTCCCTAGCGTGAACTAGTGAAAAGTAAAAAAACTTCTATGAATCAGTGAAAAACGAAAAATTTCATATGAATTTGTGAAAATCGAAACATTTCACACGACAACTGAGTCGTTCAACATGGCAGTTGCGTTCTGGATAATTCTTATAATGAATATCAAAGAAATCAAAATGATCAAAATAATAAGATCCGTGTAGTCCGAAGGATATTACGTGACACGCAAAATCCGTTTGATATAATATCCAAAGAAAATGTTTCAAAATATGTGTGTATCGGAAGATATCAAAGACTATCAATACAGAAAATAGGCCGAATATGTATGTGTGTATGTCTCTTAGGATTGCGCGACGTGAGAAAATTTAGAATAATTTTTTATGCAAGTTCGCTTATAACCTACGTTTATGTTAAAAGCGCTTCTCGGGAACATTCCGCTCGAGGGGTTAGTCCGCGATAGAAAGTTTCCTGCGACCGGAGGCCGCTGTGGTTTAAAGTTAAATTGCAGCAAGAGCATTATGTTATCGAGCAGCCCCGAGACGGGCTGCTGTCATCCGTCCGTGACGCCTGCCGGGCGCCTTTGCGATTATCGGCAAATTCAGTTTTCTCGATTGTTCGCGCGATTTCAAGTGGCCATAATATATGGCGATAATACATGGCAATATGTGGCAATAATATATGGTAATAATATACGGCAACAATATATGGCAGCAATATATGGCAATAATATATGGCAATAATTCATGGAATATATTTTTCGTTCGACAAAAGTCAATGCAAATTTGCGGCATGCACAATGTAATAATAAAAGAGCTCTCTGCGAGCATTTAGTCAAACGCTCACCGATGATGATATTGATGCTGTCCCGTTGCATCCAACCAGATCCACCAATGTCCGTCCATATCCGCTACCGCTCTCCATGTCGCGCAGCATCCATCTTCCAGACAGCGCGTCCCACGTTGATTGCTGCACTTTCGCTACACTTCCGCGACGCGGTCGATACGCGGTATTAGAGCGGCGATATTTGCGTCAATTAACGAACGTTTTACGTTGACATCGGTGGAAACTTTTTACGCGCTGCGTAACGGACTCTATATAAACTCTATCGGAGCAAGAACCGTGTGAAAATTTATCGACTCGTCCAACGGATTTTTACGACGTTTTTCGCGATCGCGCCTGAAAAGTCGCGAAAATGCGGAAGTATCGATATCTACGAGAATATTCGCGAATACATGCGAGGAAAGATTAGACAATTAGAAACCGCGGTCACTCCGAGGGAGCGCAAAGAGAGAGAGAGAGAGAGAGGCAAAGTTTTCGCACATGATAGTTCCGTCACGACGAAGCTTACGTCCGCGATACTTTGGCGAAATGAGAATTTAAGCTTTCTTTGTTGTAGCAGCGCGGATAAAAACGCGTATATTGATAACCGCGGTCGCGATATTCAAAGGCACGCGAGCGAGGATACCTCAAGCTCAGCGTGCGTTGGCGCAATTTCTGCGCGCATTATACGCTACTCGAGACAATAGGGATCGTGATGAATGGACAATATTGCCAAATAATTGTACAGCCTGTTTTGCAAATAAAAGAAAAGTAGCCAACGGTATCGGCATTTGTGCGTACGAATATATTTTACGGACAATTGAATATTGTCAAATAATTGTCGTTAAATAATTCCGCTTGAAAGATGAAAATAAAACAGCTGACAACGGTATCACGTTTGTAGACATCAATATCTCTTATTCAAATGAACATTAAAAAAGAATCATTCGGTATTTTAAATCTCGTATGTAATGCAGGCTATCGATCTATCGAAGTAATCCCCTGATTGTTTCGAGCAATGTATTTTATTCAACATCACACAAACACACACATGCAAGAATCTATTTGCAATTTGCATTGACTCGAACGATATTTTTTAGTCCCACATCCGTCATGCAGAAGTTTGTTTCTCTTTTTATTTTGACTCACCGAAACGACTTGCAGTCAGAGCCGGCCACGTTCCGCTTCAACTCTGTAACAAAAAATTCACATTCGTTCATTAAATTTGACCAACGAGTGCGAGCGAGTAAAAAAAAGTAATTTACCCTCTGCGATCGTGATCTAAGTCGAGTCGGAAATTATATCCCAGCTCTAGATCGCCAAGGGTCAAACAGAGGACTGTAGTAAACAGATGTAAACTTACCTTCAAGCCGACTCTGCTTGGCCCGAATCGGATCCTCCGATGCGGCATCCCGCGTCCGCCGGATTGCTGTTACTTTCCGCAACAACTGAAGCAGAAAAATAATTTTCTCGGTTAATAACCTGAGGTAGAGAGAGAGAGAATATCTTTGATCGGGACGAATCGAAAATACGGAAATATTTTGATATGGGATTTTTATCTCAATATTTTTGTTCCAACATTGAAAATTTAAATGAGACACGAAACTTTCAAGAGAGCTGATGAGGAACAGGTTGCAAAGGTAAAGATCGTAAAGGGTTGA